TCCTTCCCCCGCTGCAGCCGCCCGGGGGTCAGGGCCGTGCCGGCGCCGCCGCCCGATCTGCGCGGGGAAGGTTTGTGTTTGTTCTGCCCGCCGCCTCATCCTCCTCCTTTTCCTCCTCCTGCTCCCCCTCCTCCGCACAGGGCGTCCCCCCGGGCTGCCGGCGCTCCTCCGCCGGGCTGTAGCGCTCTTTCGGGAGGCTTCGGCCCCGGAGGAGGGGCACTGGCCGCCATTCCCGGCTGGGCTCAGCCGCGGCTCCTTGTCCTTTAGAGCCGTGCAGCGTGTGCTGCCTTCCCCACCCCTCACCCTTCCCGCAGTGGGGCCGCTGGGCCGCAGCCCCGGTGCTGCCGGCCCGTCCCCGCTCGGTGGGCTGCAGCCCCGGCCTGGCAGCGGGGGTCGGCACCGCCTCGCTGTATCCGCTGTTCGCCCTTTGCTGGAGGGGAGACTGACATGATGGTCATGGTCGTACTTCAGGAGCATGGACGTTGCATCGCGTCATACAGCGGAGAAGGACCTGGAGGTGCTTGTCGACAGCTGGGTGGACATGAGCCAGCAGTGAAACCAGGTGGCCAAGAAGGCCAGTGGCATCCTGGCGTGGCTCAGCAATAGTGTGGCCAGCAGGAGCAGGGCAGGGATTGTCCCCCTGTACTGGCACTGCTGAGGCCACAGCTCGAGTGCTGTGTCCAGTTCTGGGCCCCTCAGCACAAGAAGGACATTGAGGGGCTGGAGCGTGTCCAGAGGAGGGAAATGGAGCTGGTGAGGGGTCTGGAGCACAAACCCTGTGAGGAGCGGCTGAGGGAGCTGGGGGTGCTTAGCCTGGAGAAAAGGAGGCTCAGGAAGACCTTACCTGGTACTGCCTGAAAGAAGGTTGTAGCCAGGTGGGGGTCGGTTTCTTTTCCCAGGTAACAAGTGACAGGACGAGTAAACTGTGTCAGGGGAGTTTTAAGTTGGACATTTGGAGGAATTAAACAGAAAGAGTGATTAGACATTGGAATGGACTGCCCAGGAAGTAGTGGCGTCACCGTCCCCAGAGGTGTTTAAGGGAAGACTGGACTTGGCACTTTGTGCCAGGGTGTAGTTGATGTGGTGGTGTTCAGTCAGACATTGGACTCAAAGATCTAAGAGGTCTTTTCCAGTCTCATTGATTTTGTGATTCTGTGAAACAAAATCCTTGCTTTCCCTCTTGTTTCTCTTAATTTAAAAACAAATATGGACTCGAAGTTGGCAGTCACACAGTGCTTGGGGGATACTTGGTCAATGTTAGACAAGGCACGATGCCCTACCATGATCCTGAAGTGAGCAAAGTTGACAGCAGTCACTGACCAAAAGCTAAAAAATATATTAAAGTTATGAAAATAATATATAAAAATATTAGAAAAACATATAAAGAAACATGAAAAAGATAGAAGTTCTGTGGGCTGAATCAGATTTATCTAAGGAAGCATTAGATGCAGAGGAACCTTTTGAATGTAGTGGTTATATCTTCCAAGTTGGAAGTGTACTCAAAACTACAAAAGGACAAATTCAAGATACAAGCACAATAATTATGTTTGCATATTAATTACTTGTTTTTTCCTCCAAACTGCAATATTTTGAGGACCTGACTTTCCTAAGTGCTGCATGAGTATCAAAAGTGTCTGCTTAGATAGTGCCATACACAAAGGCACCTGAAATCCTAACATCTTGTTAAGTGAGCCCTAATTTTTAAAATTTTATCTGTCTGTTGGTTTTGCTCTATTCAAAATTAGATTTGCTGTTTCTGGAAACAGTTCTCTAGAACTGTTGTTGGAATGTTGTAATCTATTGATTAAAGAGGAGTATGTGAGTGTTTCTTCTTAAAAAGCAGTACTTGGGATGGCTGTAGAGCAGACTCCCTGTGTGGAAACTGAATAACTGCTTGTATTTTCACCTATCTGTAATGTATCTCTCTATTTTAGCTTGTGAAAATTTGTGAGATTTAAGTTAGGGTGACAAAAGCTGGCCTTGATTTTGTTCTGGTTAATTTTCTGCAGGGATGAAAGCTTTTTTTAGATGTCTTTCACATGCTTACCTGTCAGTTCTTAAAGCTACCTTCCAGTCTTGTCTGCTGCTCCTTCTGTTGGATTATTAATTTTAATAAAACCTCAAATGTTTATTTCCACAAAGAAACCCCACAAAGCCTGCCATGTGCATAAGAGTTCTTACGTCCCTTGTTTCCTTGTAAATTTTGTTTAATTCCCTTAGACATATCCTCCCTATCTTGAATAGCATCTATCTATTGTCCCTTGCAATGTTTTACTTTACCCAAACTTCTGTATTTCAGATGAAGGCTGTGCGGATAAACTCGGATCAAAGCCTCCACAGCTTTAGAGATTCATACAAAGCCTTTGCATTACGTGATCTTATTTCTTGGTGTTTGAAATACATATAATTCTTTTGAACAGTGTAACAATAAGATACTGAATCAGGTAAGAACAGATTGCAAATCTGGGATGGGGAAGAACAGCCTGTCATTGACCCCTGTTGGGAGACATCTGTTAGCAAAAGCTCAAATAAATTTCTATTTGTTTTATAGCACAATTTTGCAAATGCCTGTGTGTCTTTAATGCCAACTTGAGAAAGGAAGTAACTTCTAATATCTTACTGTTGATATAATTGCAGAAACTCGTAATGCACATGGGATTCTTTTATCTATTCCTGATATATTGTATGAAACTTTCTTGTTTTAAGATTGAAAACTTTGCCTTGTCATTTCTTCCTTTCTTTCCAATTGTGGGAGGATGAAGGGTGGCAGTACATCTAAGAGGTAGCAGCTGCAGGGGTGAAATATTTTGCCTAAAGAAGCACTTTGTGGGTAGAAATGTACGGAACGATTACAATCTCGAAGCTCTACAGTTCTTTCTGTTCTGTCTCGACAGGAAATATTATCTGTCAAAAACTGCATTGCAGTAATCTTCCACTTTTTTGTAACCAACTGCCTGAAATAATCTCAAAGTACTGAAGTAAATATAAGTTCTTTCTTCAGTTGACCCTAAGTCACTTACATTTTCACTGTGATGGCAGTAGCGAAGTTTTAACTCAGATTTGTAATCTCTTAAATGCCAATTACTTGGTTAAGTAAGTATTTTTTGCCAGAATCTTTGAAGAATGCTTTGCTCTTTTTTGTTTCAGTTTTACAGTACAAGAAAAAACTGTATGTGAGCTTGAAAAAAATGTTAACCTTATTAGCCTTTAATTGTAAAAAATGATAAGTTGGGTACCTTGATCTTACAAGAGACTTGATTTCTGACTTAGAGGGAATGGACCAATGATGGGAGGTTTGCTTTTAATTTATTTATTTATCTATCTACCTACTTATTTTTTAATTTAATGGAGAATATTCATACACCAGGCTCATTTGGATTCTTTTTTTCTGTACGGGTATTAATAATAGTAATATTTTAGCAGATCCTTTAGGAATAATTAACATAGGTTTCTTCTATGAATTTCCTCCACAGTGGATGAGAGAAAAATGTAGAAATCCCTTTGGTAATGTTGCTGCCAAGAGAGATTTGATTGAAATATCTAATCAATAGACATGTAGGTTAAAATACATCTCTAAGAATTTATGTATTTTGGCAAAGTGTTTTATTGTACTACACACTGTATACTACATACATCAGAGATATGGCAAGAGACCTGTGATCTTACAACCTGACTTTAAGAGAATACTAATGCTGTTTTAAAAAGAAAAATGTATCAGTCACATTTATCTCAGTTCTCTAAGATGAATTTTAAATCAATGATCATTATGTTATTGTAAGAGGAGGTTAATCCCAGGTTGCCTATCACAGATACTCCTTTCATCATAGGAGTTACAAACAACTAAGATTATTTTAAACTTGCCAGAGTGACCATCTTGCATTCAGTATAACAGTGCTAGTTTCTACAGGCTCAGGATTTGCCCAAACCAGATTTGTGGCCCCACAGATTCAGCATCTTGTCCAATTGAGAACTGTTGTCATTCTTTTAAAGCCTGATATGAGAAAACAGTTCTGGGTTTAAATCTAATGTTGTCTATGTATTTGGGCTTTCTTCTTTCTTTTTCTCAAGTTGCTGGTTAAGGTGACTGATCTTTTACTTAAATGTACTGATAGTACATTTCCTGCTTGAACACACTGTAAGAAAGGGAATGAGACTTCTGTCTCCCCTGGATTTTTCTAGCTTTTTTCTACTTCATGTACATTGATACACTGTGCCTTTAAGTTTTTGTTAGGGTTTTTTGTTTTTTTTTTCAGAGGAGGCACTTGACTGTGAATTTACCTAAGGCGAGTCCAAAGGAATTGTGTGTTTCAAGTAGCCCCACAAAAAGGGGTTTATATAATATTATGCATGTGCCGGTAGTAATTTGAGAATGACGTGTTCTTTTTTGAGGTCCTAAAATATGGTCTGAGCCAATAGGCTCCATTTGGAAAGCATCCCCTATTTTATCTGTAATATTTGCAGGCCAAATTAAATTTGATTTATCTTAAATGGTTTCCCCTTCTACTCTGCACACATTTTGAGATTAGTGTTTCTGATTCTGTTGGCTTTTATTGTTCTGACTCACAAGGTTGATCTTCTAGTTCACAGAATTCACAGAAGGACTGGGTTGGAAGAGACCTTCAAGATCATCAAGTCCAACCCATGCATGCCCTAACACCTCAACTATACCATGGCACTGAGTGCCACATCCAGTCTTTTTTTAAACACATCCAGTGATGGTGACTCCACCACCTCACTGGGCAGTGAAAAACTTTTTCCTAATATCCACCCTATATTTCCCTTGGCACAGCTTAAGGCTCTGTCCTGTCATTCTGTCAGTTGCTGCCTGGTGAAAGAGACCAACCCCCACCTGACTACACCCACCTTTCAGGGAGTTGCAGAGGAGAAGGTCACCTCTGAGTCTCCTTTCCTCCAGGCTTTTCTCCAGTTCTTTCTCTGATCATGTTCTCCTGTACAAAACACAAGTCCTCTTTTTGTGGAAGGCTATGAAAACTTCTTGGGAGTTTTAGTTAAATGAAAATCTTTATTGCTTTGGAAGCAGAAAGAATTGTAAGCTACTGATTTATTTGA